TTAACAGAACGAGGCAATTGAGTTTGTGGCGGGGACGCCGGCCAGCAGGGGGCATCCGGATAGGTGGGGCCTGCTCTAGGAAAGGCCCTTTCACGGGAACCTTGGTTGGATTGAGGCAACAAAACAGCAGGGTGGAAGCCTGCAACATTGCCTGGGGAAAGGCCTCAAACTGGAATGTTTGGACCGGCTGGCAGGCAGCTGTGTCACTAGGCCCTGGATCAGATGGGATGCCGGTCTCCGCGGGGAGATGCCTCCTTATCTGATCCACGTGGTGCCTCCACTCGGATCCATTGGCCAATCTGACCCTGTAAGAACAGGGGCTGGTTATGGACACAACAGAGGCAGTCACCCATTTAGATTCCCCAGAGACCGAGCGGGCCCAGACCAGATCCCCCACAAGGAAAGAGCGGGGAGGGGAGGCCCCCAGGTTGCATGGCTGCTCCCCCGAATAGAGCGGATGAAGCCTATCCAGGGGGGTCCAGAGGTGCCGACCCATCAACAACTCCGCAGGGCTTTTGTTGGTCGTTGGGCAGGGGGTGGAATGTTGGCTTAACAGGTAAGCTGCCACACTTGTCTGCCAATCGCCCCGGTCCATCCGGCCAAGTGCCTCCTTGGCCGAACGGACCGCGCGCTCTGCCTGGCAGTTGCAGGCCGGATGGTACGGGGCAGTGGGCGCGTGCCAGATACCCTGCAAAGCCAGGAATACCTGGAACGTGGTGGAAGTGAATTGGGGCCCATTGTCTGAGACAACCACGTCCGGCAACCTGTGGGTTGCGAACAAACAGCGTAGGACCTGGACCGTACTCTCAGCGGAGGTGGAGGTCATAAGGACCAGTTCCACCCAGTGAGAGTAGGCGTCCACCATGATCAGGAATGTCTGGCCATGGAAGAGGCCGGCAAAATCCACATGGATGCGGGCCTCTCGGAGCCTCCCACTCATGAGCCGGCACCGCTAGGGGGATGGGACGGGAGAGTTGGCAGTCAGCCCACCAGTCAGCCCACGCAGGCCGCAATCTGTGAGTCCAGCAAAGGCCACCAGACATAGCTGCGCGCTAAAGCTTTCATGCGCGCTATGCTGGGGTGGTCCTTGTGGAGCAGAGATAGGACCTGGGAGCACAGAACGGGAGGGATCACGACCCAATCCCTCCAAATTAAACATCCGCCATGTAGGGACAATTCAGCTTGCCTCGCCTTAAAAGGCCAGAAGCTGTCAGCCACCTTTCCTAAAGGCCATCCGCGTAGGACCCAGGAGCAAACTTGAGCCAAGACCGGGTCAGCCTTAGTGTGGGCCGCAATGTCCGCGGCTGAGAGGGGAAGGCCCGAGGAGGCAATTAGCAAAATGGACAGGGAAGGCACTGGGGCCGGGTCAGAGTCCGGCAAGGGGCAGCGGCTAAGGGCATCAGCATGCCCCAGCTGCTTGCCCGGACGGTAGAGCAGCATATAAGAATATGCTGCCAGGAACTCCGTCCATCGCGTCATTCTGGGGGAGAGAATGGGAGCGGTCGGCTTGTCGCCTGCCAGAAGCCCAAGGAGCGGCTTATGGTCAGTGACAAGGGTGAAGTGCCGACCATACAGATAGTCATGAAACTTCTTAACCCTGGACACTGCAGCCAGAGCCTCCTTGTCGATCTGGCTGTAATTTCGTTCTGCAGCAGAGAGTGTCTGGGAATAAAAAGCCACGGGGGCCTCTGAGCCATTTGGGAGGACATGGCTCAGGACCGCCCCCAGACCATAGGGGGAGGCATCACAGGCTAGTGTCAGCTTGTCACTGTACTGCACTAAGACAGCCGCTGACGTAGGCGTGTCTTTGACAGCCGCGAACGCATGCGCTTCGCGGATGCCCCAGCGCCAGGCGCGGATCGGTCAAGCAACCGATGCAGCGGCTCGACTAGTGACGCCTTGTGAGGCACGAATGGTGCGTAAAAATTGAGAAGCCCCAGGAACGCCTGCAACTCCGCCTTGGAGGAGGGAGTGAGGGCGTTCCTGATGGCGGCAACCTTAGAAGGTGTAGGGTGGATTCCTTGGGCATCAATTAAGAAGCCCAAGAACTCC